TACCCTTCCTCTTGCCTTCTTTATCAGATAGCTTGAACCACCTGGGAACTCTTTTCAGGGACTCAGTCTGAGAATCCTCACCCCAAGAACCTTTTATTCCCCAATATGAGCTGACCGTTCACTCATTTTTGGCTCCCCCTTTTGCCCTCCCCCCAGTTTAATTTCTGCCCAGCCTAGGTCAAGAAAAGCCTTGACCAAGTCTGGGGAAGGCCATCAAAATTTGTTTTCAGGGCGTGATCTGGGATTACACTATCTCTGTAAGTGACTTCATTTCTATGAACCTCAGTTTCCTCATCTGTAAAATGGAGATAATAGCGCCTGTACAATCCATGGCACAGGATTGTTGTGAGGATCAAATGACATAATCTAAGATATCACTATTACTGCTAATATTTTTACCTGATGTAGTCTTTCATGGGAGGCCTGGTGGTAGGGTGAATCTACAGTGTGATATAAAGGTCCCCTTTCAACATACAGGTGTCTATTTCTCTTCTTTCCCGATGTCATTTGCTTCCCACTCCTTTGCTCAGTATAATTTTTTCTGCCTTCTGCTAGCCATCTTTTCAGAAGAATTCTTCCACACCCATCCATCTGTAATTTCAGCTGTCTATGCTTATTTCAAAAGTAGCATGCCCCTATTTGCTCATTTTTACTTTTACTATGCCTATTTATGGAGATTAAATTATAATGAAGATTAAAGTCTCAGAATCCAATTTTTAAGTTGGAGCCTGTAAGAGAGACTGCCAAGTCTAGGGTAGTCTTACTCGTAACAGTATTAAGGCAGCTAGGTGGCATCAAAGTGGATAGTGTTGGACCTGGAGTGAGGAAGACTGAGTTCAAATACTACCTCAGAGATCTGTTAGCTTCCTAACCCTGGGCAGGTCACTTAACCTCTCAGTTTCAGTTTCCTCCTCAGTGAAATGAGAATAGCAATAGCACTGATCTCCCAGGGTTGTGATCAAATGATATAACATATATATAGCAAGTGCTTTATAGTGTGCTTTTATTTTTAAAGACTTCTGTTCAGGGTCACTTTTGAATGCTGTGGTTTTTATAAGCAACTAATCACAAAATGGAATTTTTTTTTAATGATAGGGGAAAAGCTACCTGTTTTAATTAGGTCATTGATGTCAATATTATTTAGCACCTAGCAAAAGGGAAGGTACTTTCTTTTCTTTGTCTAAAGTACGTTTTAAACATGAAAGGGACTAAAACCTTCATCTGATTCCCATAGAATATACTTCATTCACTAATGATCACGTGATCATTCTCTTTTAGGGTGTTTATTAGGGCCTTTCTGTGAAATGTGTAGAGGAAAGGTGAAAGTTTATATACTGAGTGCTCCAATTTAAATAATCAGGTTTTCTCCAGAAGACACTTTTTAGCAATCCAAATACAGTGTTTCCTTTTAAAATATGCGAACAATCCATTTCCTTGATTGCTTAAAAATACAAAACCACCACTGTTTAAACAGTTTATGGATACATGGCATAAATGATAGTCACTGTTTTGCAATCCTGTGGTTATACCTATCTGCCAAAGACCCATTTAACTTCTACTATACCAATATGGGATTTGCTAGTTGTTATTCAAAAAGGAAGTAGAATTGAATAGTCACTCACATATTAAAAGTAGGGCAGATGTCAAAGGGGGAGGGAAAGGGAAGCAAAGATGTCTTTTGAATATTCTCAAAATCTTTGGGAGATTTGGAGTGATGGAGAAAAACCATCAGATTGTTCTGAATATATTTTGACTCTGAACAACTTATGCCCTCCCTTTAAATTGGATAGCTCCAGAGAACATTAGCTGGTAAACACATTCAAATATAGGCCATTTTAGTATTTTCCTGTGTTAATTAATTTATATTAAAATGTGTAGGTAAGAATATTCAAGATTATGTTTCTTTAGTGGAAGAAGTTTACATTTTAGGGAGTCTTTTGCTGTATTGCCTATGATCTGTAAGGGCTTACACTGAATGTTAAACTTACAATCGTGAGTCTAAATTGAGAAATTCAAATATCCTAACAATTAATCAATCAACCAGCATTCATTAAGGACTATGTGCTAGAAACTATCCTTAGGTGGAGGGAGGGAGAGAAGAAAGAACAGAAAATACTCCTGACCTCAAGAAGCTTACCTTTTAATGCAGAAGATGAGATATAAAAGATACTTACAGAGTAGATGGAAGGTAATCTTAGAGAGAAAAAGGCTAGGAGATGGAGGACTGACATAGGACCTCCTGAACAAGTCTGAACTGAGCCTTGAAGGACATGATAGACATAAACCCTGTGCCTTGCCTTATGTCTAACACCTTTGATAATTAATGATATATGAATACTGCTTTTTTTTTTTGGCTGGGCAATGGGGTTAAGAGACTTGCCCAGGGTCACACAGATAGTGAGTGTTATGTGTCTGAGGTTGTATTTGAACTCAGGTCCTCCTGACTCCAGGGCTGAATACTACTTTCAAGGTGATACAGCCAAGTATAAAGCAGAAAGGCAGTAGCTATAATTTTGACATTTATTTAGTAAGGGAAGACACTGAATTGATTAAGGGTGGGGAGGGGTTACTAAAAGATAGTTGAGTTGTTTTTAATTATGCCATGTAAAATGGACTTAAGTAAAATCCACTGGAAATAGAATGTTCTAGAAGTCTTAATGCAGTTTTATGCATCATTACTTAACTTACTGAATTGGTTTTTCAAAGATATGGGGGTGTATTTAGCTGCCACTTTCACCTTTCATGTCTCTGCTATAAAGAGGCATGAAGTCAGAAATCTAGCCAACAATTATAAAAGTAGTTTGGGAGTGGTGTTTTAATTACCAAGGACTCTGGCTCAAGACCACATTTTCAATATTTTCCCCCTCAAATAATTTGATTCTTACAGGTTCAATGAAACCACTGAGGAGTGATAGAATATGGAAAAAGTAAGCAAAAATTTTCAGAGGAAAATTGGCCTCAAAAGAATCTCTGAATTCATATTCAAACACTAAGATGTTTACCTGTCTAGTATATGGAAAACACAGAAACACATCAGGTGTGTTGAGGTCTATGTTGATGCTGAGCCTACATGATCTCAAAAGCATGATTTTTCAAATCAAGTATAAAATTACATAGAATCCTTTTTTCTCCAAATTGGAATTTAAGTTGTTTAATCAGTTTGGAAAATACTAAATTCTAGGGACAGGATAACAATATCTATATTTGGAAGGCCTACCAAAGCTGTAATAATACCACTTTACCCTTTGTGGTGCTTTCAGGTTTTCCAAGGATCTTACAGTTGAATTAGTGCTCTCCTCCCCAAAACGCTGAAAAGTAGATAGTTTTAATGACTTCAATGTCCTAAGGGTCTGTAGTTGCAGGAGTGCCTGGATTTTTAAAATAAGGAATTATAAACGCTAGACAGAAGTGTATTTTGGATGCTTGAGTATCTTAACTTTAAAAATGGTATAATTCTTCAAATTTCTTATTTGGGAAAATCATAGTCTATGTAGATTCCAAGCCAGAAGGGACTGGAGATGTCATTCAGTTTGACACCCTCATTTTGCAGGATAGGAAACTAAAGTCAAGAAAGGTTAAGGGATTTGTCCAAATTAATAAGTTGGCAAAGTCTATACTCAAACCTGTGTCCCCTGACTTCAAAAATCCCCTATTTCTTCCACTGGCCATCATTCTGGGGATTAGAAATGAAACCATTTAGACTTATATAATGATTCATGATTTAGATTTGGTTGTAATCAATCAGCAAACCAACAAGTATTTATTAAGTGCCTACTATGTGCCAGGTACTATGCTAGGTGTTGGGAATACAGTCCATTAACAAGCTTGTAATAAGTGATTACTAATGTCAGAAAGAAGAAAGTGAAATAGTTCCTAATCTTGATGTATTTACAGTCTGGTTGGGGGAGACAAGACATACATATATAGGTATATGCAAAATATAGCCAAGATAAATGTGGGTGGAACGAACTAGCATGATGGGGGGGGGAGATTTCACGGTGGCACTAGATAATTATTTTTGTTTACACTATTACATATCTATAAAAATAAGACATTACTTTGAGTTAGTAAACCATAAGCACAATGATTCTTTCTTGACGTGTACCTATATTAGCTTAGTGGTAGATTGGCTGGTGGTAGATTTTCCTAGTGCTTAGCACAGTGCCCTGGCATATTGTAAGAGCCTACAACACGCTTTTGGACTAACTGGATAAACTCTTTTGGGTGCCAGGTATAGGTTGTAAATTTGTTTGTTCGTAACAGGTCAAATTCCAAATTTTCTAGTTTTAAAGTAACCACATTTTTTAAAAATCTGCAAAATATTAAAAAATAACTCAAATATGCAGCTGAAAGTTTTAAGTTAATAAGTTAAAAGTAAAGAAACATGTAAAATTAAATGGATTTACAACTTGTTTTCCACTTCTGATATGCTGAACTATTAAGATATGTACATTAGTACATTTCAATTGCTGATCAATTTTGGGGAAAATAATCTACAAGAAAAGAATATTAAGCAAATATTAAAGTATTCATCATGGAAGGTTCTAGTTAACAAGTATATGACCCAGCAAGTAACTAGAGAGCTCTGAGCATGCTCTGGTTGTAGCTTTTTCTCCCCAAAGAATACTGAAGTTCTGCGTAAATGTCAACAATTATTATTGCTAATAATGAAGGGCAGTTTAGTTGAGGCTTTCTGGGGAAGTGAGGATAGATGGACTTTTCCTTTAGGCTCCTTTCTTCCTTTGTCACATTATTCCTGCTCTGAAAGTATAGTACCACAGGGGCCAGTTAACAATAAGAGATCCATACTTGGGAAGGGGAAGCTGTTGCTACATTTAAACCCACAACCAAGTTTGTAAATAGAGACTAAAATGTAAATCTTGTGGTAAGATTAGGTGTCAATGGGGTAATGCATGTACTTCCTTTGATGTACTAATTGCCCAACTATTGCACATAAAACTGTTTAAAATTATCTTTAAACATCCAATTTTTATGACAAAAGAGAGGGGATTTATTTGATCCTTTTATTTTCTTACTTAACCCCATTAGGTCCAGAGTTTCTGTGCCAGAAACTTGTAGGGAAGGCAAACGAGTGAAAAATATTAAGGCATGCATTGCAGTGTATTTGTGACTGTTTGGCTAGAATATTTTATTCTAAAGCAGAAATTGTAAATACAACTCAATATGAGAATGAGCATTTCATCTAATTTTAATTAAAATTTTATTTTGCTTGAGCTTTATTAGAACTGCTAGGTGAAAATACAGATATTAGGAGACAGAATGGGAAATTTGCCTCTTGCCATGCTAAAACCATGTTATTTTTTGGGAAGGCAGCAATTGACAAAGAAATGACCAAACAGAAGATGAGTTTTACCTTAGCTAGGTAAAGCATATTGGAAAAACACAGGATTAATACTTTCTATTTAGGCATTAATGAATTTGTTTTTAAAAATTACTGCATTTTCACAGTTTTGAAGATTCCATGTTTTCCTTCATTAAGCATAGCAATAGCCAATCTTTTTTAATTACTCAGTTTTCATTCCTATTAAGTTTCCAAGCAGCAAGTGAACTTTTTCGATAAGAACAGTTTACTGTTCTAAAAAAATAAAGTTATCTTCCTTCAGTAATTCCCATGAAAAAGGTGGTGTTAATCATAAGAGCATAGGTCTGGAGTTGGAAGGGACTTTAGAGGTGTTTTGGGTGATCTTATTTTACAGATAAGGAAACTGAGGCTCGGAGAGGCTGAGTAACTTGTTCAAGGTCACACAGGTAGTTAAGTGGCAGAGATCAAATTCAAATGGAGGTGCTGGGACTACAAGCTCATCATTTTTCCTACTGTACATTTCCAAACTGGTCAGGATGCATCATAACATCTAGGTATGGACAGATTCCATTAATTACATTATTTAAAAAATGGTGTTTTCCCTCTAGTATATGAGAACTGGCATGGTATTGTGGGAAGTATATTGGATTTGGCCTTAGAAACCCTATACTCAGATCTTGATTTTTCTACTCACCCACCTTCGTGACACTAGGGAACTGCCTCAGTTTCCTCCTCTAGAATGTCCGGGGGTCAGACTAGATGGCCTGTAAGATCGATTCCAGTTCCAAATCTTCATACATTTATATGCTTTCTGTAGCGGATTATAACACTTTAGAGTAAGTCCCTTATTTTCTTTTATTCTTTTTATTTTTTTACAAAGAAAGCAAAGCCTTGAAAAAAACTAGTGCTTCAGGATCTTAGAAAATTTGCTATCAGAAATATTTTACATTTAGATGGATTTATGCACAATCTGTTGCAGTAGTTATATTGGTTTTGCGTCCTTGGGGGAGGGAACCTTAACTATTAACTCCCAGCTGTGCCAACTGAACCAATCAACTGTTGAAACTATGAAGGGCAACGTTGCATTTTTGAAGTCAATTTAAAAATATCTCCCTTCCCGGTCCCCATCCCCTCTCAGTGAGCACAGATGGTTATGAATGTTCCAAGGAGGGACAAGAGTGGTGGAAAGATATCCCTACAGTCTGGCAGGAAGTATTTGACTTACTTAAAAAACACAGTGAACACCACAGTCTGGAGTTCAGCTCTTGGAATGAGCAAAAAAACATTTGTGACTTAGAGAATCCTGGAGAGTATTCCCCTCCTCTCCCCCCACCCCCGCCCCGTATTTTCCATCCCTCTGACAGCAGGGTGTGTATTTCAGTATGGGGCTTACTTCCGAACAAAGCGTGCAGTCACCACCTGAGGCTCCACTTCCCCTAGGTGCCAGATGTATGGCAAAGGACAGCTGTAGCCTGTACATCACATTTCTTCTAGTTCTAGCCAGGGGGTAGGGAGTGGCTGTCCCAGTACTTCTGATATTGGCATCCTTGGGCGTTTGTTTAATAGCTTGTTGGAGATGGATTCTTTTGTGGCACACAGTCCAGGTTAAGGCTGCTGCCACAGCGACGCTTTATGTTCTGCTGATGTCTTAGGCTGTGCTTTTGTCTGCTTCTATATACCCTCCGCACCCTTCCCTGTTTCCTGTTAGCTTAACTGATCGCTGTCTTTCTGAACGAATAATTCTGAGCCGAGTCCAAGCCTCCCGGAAAATGCTCTGCTCTAAACACAGGCGGGGATCAGCCTAGCCCTTCCCTTCCGTGTGCACTCTCTGGGGGCGGGGGTGGGGGGGCAGAGAAGAAAGACAACATCTCACCAAAGAGAGCCACTTGTTGGGCCGAGAGGGCGAGGACAGTGGGAGCAGGAAGAGAAAAAGGTAGGAGTCGAGGGGGCATGTAAGAAGCAGAGATTGGAGGAATCCCTGGGTTCCAGTGCACTGGCCGGACTCCCTGGGTGGGAGAGAACGTTCCTTAGAGAGATGGGCTCAGATCGTTGGCCAGAGCAGCCTACCGTGGGACAAGCGCAAATCAAAGAGGGGAAGCTGGTGCGGGGGCCGGAGTTAAAGCAGGAAGGGAGAAATCACTCCCGGGAAAGGGAGGGGAACTAGAAAATATTTCTCCCAGGCTGCCGGGAACCGGAGGGAGGGAAAACACCGCCGCTACAGAGGCTGGGAACTGGGGATGCTCGTCGGCCCCGGCCGCTAGGGTTTGCTGCGGAGGTTGACTTTTCCCCTCCCTCTTGCCTACAGCCCGGCGCCCGTCCTGCAGCCCTGGTCCACAGGGAAGGAGAAGGAAGAGGTGGAGAGGGAGAATTCCCGCCACCTCTGTCCCTCCCTTCCCGGCAAGCTGCCCCGAGCCCTGGGTAGCCCCTTGCAGTCTCACTAACGCACACTGATCCATCCATCCATCATCCATCCAGCCAGCCATCCCGGGCAGGGAGTCGGGGAGGCCGGAACAGAGGAGGTTTGGGGGCCCGGCTCCAACGCAGGAGGCAGCAGGGATCCATCCAGTAGGGAGCGGGCCTGGATCCCGTGGGAAGCGGGAGTGGTCGAAGGGGAGAAGGGGCTCTGCGGTGTCCAGCCTCCTCTCCCCAGGCAGTGCCGGGGGTGGGAGGGGAGCTGAATATGGCGGCGGCGGCGGGGATCCCTCGGGGCCCGGGGCGCCCTCTGACCGACCGCCGCCCCCACCGGGCGGTGCTGTGCTCCCGCAGGAGTCAGAAAGGATGGCCGGAGCCGGAGTCCAGCACCACCCCCCGGGCGCTGCCGGAGCCACCTCGGCCGCCTCTACCGCAGCCTCGGCAGCCTCAGCTACAGCCGCCCCCGCGGCTGGCCCCGCCGGCCCGGGAGACGAGTCGTCGGACAGCGAGGCGGAGCACGAGGGGCCGCAGAAACTGATACGGAAAGTGTCCACGTCGGGGCAGATCCGGAGCAAGGTGAGGGTGCGTGTTTGCACGTTCTTTGAGCGCGTGCTTGCGGGCGAGGGCACGGGGGCCAGGAAGGGGGTGTAGCGGAAGAGGTGCAAGGGCCACGCGGGCCAGGACCCCGGGCATCTGCGCTGTGGGCCTGGTCTGCGAGCTCTGGAGCATCTGCGCCTGAGAGCTCCGAGGCTGCTGGAAAGTAGGAGGGGGAGAGCATCCGAGCATTTGGAGGACCTGGGACTGGGTTAAAAAAAAAAGAGGAGGAGACCTGGGAGAAAGGCCAGGGGAGGGGCATGTGCGTAAAGAGTGGGCGAGCTCCGAGGGGCGGGGTTGGCAGCCTCGGAAAAGACGGAGGTAAAGGGGCGTGGGAAAAAAAAAAGTTAGCGCTCTGCTGCTTGTTCCTACTTTGGGCTGAACAGCTTGCATTTTTCCACGTGTACGAGGCCATTAGTCTAACGTCGAGCAAGTTGGTGAAGCTGTGGCTCTGTGTGCAAGTTGCGGAGAGCGGCAGAGCGGAGGAAAGCAGCAGCAAAGTCCATCTCCCTTTTTCCCAACCAGACCAGGCTTTACCCTCTCCTGCCCCTCAGGGAGGGGGGAAGATTCACTCTCTGTCCCCTTTTGATCGCTGCAGCCTCTTGGGATCGAGCCACAGCAGGGACTGGCCGGTGGTAAAAGCTCTTAGCAGTTAAAACGGAAACCTGTGGTAAAAGCAGCTGGCCTCGCTTTCTGTCCCATGGATTTCAGAGTACTGAAACGAGGGGAGCATCTGTTCCACTAAACCTTGTAAAAAACAGCCAATTCTTTATGCTGCACGGGGAGTAGGTGTGTCTGCTACTCTGTTTTGCCCATTTTGAAGTCATCATTCAGAGATGTATGAGGATTGTTCGCTTTGAAGATGCCTGAATCATTTATTGAAAGTTGACTCAATTTCAGGGTTCGTTCGTAAAGGGGGAAAGCCAATAAGATATGTGCATGTTATGTAGGTATCAAATTTAGTCAGAAAGTATTATTTAAAATAGTCCCATTTCTTTTATCCAATGAGTGAGATCATCATTGGAACAGTAAGACCATTAACAAAAGGCAGCCAGTTGATGCTGGGTGGAGACTGTTGTGTAAATTGGTGCTTAAACTGAGTAGACTAGTGTCATAAAATAGTGTGCACTATGTGTTAGCCCTCTTATATTTGCCTCTAAAATTAATATAACTGAATCCATTAAAAAGTTAAATGTAATGTTGCATTTGTTAAACGATCAAAAATATTTTACACGGGTTTGTTCTTACCAATTTGTTCTTGTTAATATCTTGTGATAATTTATGATTGTTTGCTATTTGGCACTTTGAGAGGCAGCCTGCCTTAGTGGATGTAAGAGTGACCTTGAAATCAGGAAGATTTTGGTTCACATCCTGCCTCTGATACATACTAGATGTGTGACTGTGGGCCAGTAACTTAAGCTCCTTGCCCCAGGCAATTATCTAAAATGATATTCCTGACCTTCCAGGTGGGAGTGTACACACTGAATTTCCTAAACCTAGATGACTTGCTGAAATTCACAAGTCTTGCTCTCAGTTTTTGGTAGTTTTGATTGTTTTTAAGGTTTACTGGTTAGGATTTTGAACTTTTGATATAAATTAGGAAGGAATGTTTCACAGCATGTTTAAACTATTAAGGATAAGCAAAATATGACCTTTCTTAAATTGAAAATTTACATACTTAATAAATATATTTTTATAATAACTTATGTAGTGATGTTTATTTTGGCATATAATTTAAAGTCAAATTTTAAGTATACTTTTGGAGAAAACAATATGTTAAAATGAAGTGTTAAAGTATTTATGTAAATATGTACTTACATATAGTATATATTTACATATGTATATGTATATACTACACAAGTATATCACATATGTGTGGTATTAGATAGTGTAGGACTTGGAGTCAGGAGACCTGAGTTAAGATCCTGCTTGAATAGATAAATCACTTATCTTTTCAGAGGCTGTTTCTTTGAAATGTCTTACATGGTAATAATGCTGCATCCCAAGGTGTTTATAAGGATAGCACTTTGCAAATCTTTGAACATTATATAAAAGAATCATTAGCTATATGTGTCTACTTGTATGTTAATAAAAAGATATAGTCCCCAAATTGTCTGATATCAAGATTAACCCATACTTTGAAAGGAAACTTAGAGCAATACAAGCACCAAGATCTTTAACTTCAGTAAAATGTAACAAGTCTGTTTAACTGGTACTTGTAAGAAGTGGAGATTTTGAGACCCATATAAGCACATTGTTTGCACATAGTAAGTACTTTAGATGTTGTATCAAATCTGAGACTAGAAAGCTAATATTGATTTTAGGATATTAATTGGGCATTTGTTCTAGAGGAAAGAATAGAACATTCATGAATAATCCTGTTTACACTACAAGTAATCAATTTTTTAGTAAATATGTTTTGCCTAGAATTAGGTCTTTAATGGGTTTTTTTTTTGTTTGTTTTGTTTTTGGTTAAGCAATGGGGTTAAGTTACTTGCCCAGGGTCACACAGCTAGTAAGTGTTATGTGTCTGAGACTGGATTTGAACTCAGGTCCTCCTGAATCCAGGGCCAGTGCTCTATCCACTAGGCCACCTAGCCCCAGAATTGGGTCTTTAATGGTCCTTAAAAGTGAAGCTACTTTTGAATTTCACAAATAGTATTATTTTGACAATTAATTTTATAATTAACCAAGATCCTCCACCATTTTCATATGTCGACATCTGTCATCCAAATTTAAAGCTTACTTAAACCCTTTGTTAATAATCTCAGAAGGGCTACAGAGGATTCTTTAGAAAAGATGCCCAGAGTTTGAACCCTACTTCAGCATCAGTTGTGTGACCCTGGGCAAGACATTTAATCTCTTTCAACCTCGGCCGTAAAATGCTCTTTAAAATTGTGGCAATAATAGCTTCCACCTCACTAGGTTGTTGTGAGGATCCATTTAAGATAACACTTAAAACACTTAGCAGCCCTTAAAGTTGTTTAGAAATGGTGGATATTATACTGACCAATCAGGGTTACCTACCTCTTATATTCTGGAGGAGCTGTTCTACAGGAAGAGCTGACTTCAGGACTAGTAATCTACCCCAAATTCCACAGTTTCAACAGAAGTTTCATTTCCTTCTATTACAATAGAACCCAAAAGATATAACAACACATTACCAGCTCTGCAAAGGTTAGAATACCTATGAAACCTTTATTTCCTCCCTGAGTTCCCTGTTCTAGGGGAATGGACAGAGTATCAACAAACATTTGCTACATACTGGGAAGTCGTCAAAAGATTTATGTTTTGACATTGACACTATTCTCCAGTGTGATCGGAGGAGGAGGAATTTATCATTCAACTTGTTTTGACATGAATTTGCTTTTTGCTTGACCTTGTTACAAAATATCTCTGCTGTCCTCTTCCCAACCCCAGTTTCTTTTAGCGGTGAGCAGGTGCAAAGCAAGTCAGTTTAAGTTCAGTGATGTAATAATACGTTGTATATTTGAAGATTAGTTTGGTTTTCTATTTTATGATCTGTAAGTATATCTTTCCTTATGTCTAAAGTAGTTTAAAATAATTTATTTCAAAAATTTCCAGACTTGGCTGTTTTTTTTTTTAAAGAAATATAAGTATTGGTGGTAATCAAATAGATACTGTTTTTAATTTTCTTTCAGACAATAGGTTTACAAAACCTCATTGGTGTCTGGTTTAGAGAGCCTGAGAGCAATATTTGGAAGCCTGAGACTCCTAAACGTTACCTTGTTTGAAGCATAAGCAAATATCTGTGTGTAATTTTTTAATGTGCTATTCTCTGGTGTTGACAATAATAATACCAATTTTATGACTTGGTATTTTCTCAAGGCAACCTTTTGAGGAAAGTAGTATAAATATTATCTCTAGTATGCAGATGAGGAAACTGAGGTTTTGGTTGTGTGCCCTAAGGCCTGGTCCTAGATCTTTCCCTAGCCAGTGTATGGTGTAATTTGGACATCAGTGAAGAACACAGTGAATTGTAACATTTTTGCACTGGGTGTGACTGCTATCTTTTTAGTAAAGGCCTAGGGAAAAGATCTAGCATGATTTTAAAGTTAACAAGGAATTATATAATCCTCAGTTACATTATGTCTTCTTTTTCTGGCCCCTCATGTGTTCGTTCTCTCTCTCTCTCTCTCTCTCTCTCTCTCTCTCTCTCTCTCTCTCTCTCTCTCTCCTCTCCCTCTCCCTCCTCTCCCTCTCCCTCTCCCTCTCCCTCTCCCTCTCCTTCTCTCTTCCTCACCCTCTTTAACCCCCCCTCCCCATCTCTTCTCTACAATGCCCTAGTCATAGAACAATAGCACCACAGATTTAGAGCTGGAAGAGATCGGAACCATCATAAGAATATGACCCCATCATGTTATAAGTGAGCAAAATGAGACCCAGGCAGGTTAAGTTATTTATTTGCCCAAGGTCACATAGCTAGTGTCAGAGTTCAGAATCAAACCCAGGTCTTCTGACATCAAATGCAGCATTGTTTGTACCCAGTCCTCCTTTCCCTGATCTACATACTTTTTTCCTCTTCTTTTTCTCTCTCTCCCACCTCCCCTCCCACCATGATTTTGGATTGTAAACTGATGATTATGGTACAGTTTATATCCCAGCCCTACTGTCAACAAACAGTACTCAGGAATTCAGATAAGTAGAATCTCAGGAAGTCACATCAGATATTCAGGATAGAAACAACAGATAATCTTACAGCTGCCTCAGCTCTTGGATTATGTGGCAATTTCCCACAGAGAGAAAAAGAAATCAGTCACTGAGCTGGAAGGTGATGAGAGAGCTGCTGATTTAGGGAACCTAACATGGGGCAGTTAAGATAATTGCCTATCAAGTCTTCTCTTCATCTTTTTCTAACTATTCTTGTCTTCTCCATTTTCTATGGTAGGGCTCTCCTGACCCTTCATCTTTTAGAAGGCCTGTTATTCATTTTAAGTTCTTCCCTTTTTATAGATAACTTCTTAGAG